GGTTTCCGAGGGTGTAAATCTTTACGGGAGTAGAAAGCCTGATCTTTCTCCCGCGGAGCAGCTGGTAGTTTCGAACCGCTGACCTTAAGGTTCGCAGCCCGACTCGTAACCACTACGCTACCAGATATGCTACACCAAATGACTCTGTAGGATAAGCACTAGACAACAGAACCACAAGGTTGGCTGTTTGAGCCCACCAGCCGCTCCGTGGAAGAAAGGTGCGACTTTATGCTTCCGCCAATATTTACAGCTTCAGACACCCTTATGAGTCGGAATCGTCTTAACGGCACTTGATAAAAACAATAATTTTTGAAACATAATCTCACAGCCTCTCCATTTGATGCCCTACCCTGAACTCGTTCTTCTTCTAAATCTTAAAGGCATTTACTCCACAAGAGTCTTGCCTTTGCATCTTCAAAGTTCAGGCACTGATAAGACACTTTTACTTTTCACATTCTTCAGTCCAACTCGCCAATTCTTGAGGTGTGTTCATCTTGAGCAGTACTTTTAGGAGTGCAGAAACTCCACAGCAGAATGCTGAGCAAATCCTCAAAGTGTTGTGTTCACAAGGGGTGTTGGAGACAAGAAAGGTCCCACCACACCTGCAGCTGTATATGTGGTGTTAATGCCCTGTATCCAGTAAGCACTGTAAAGAAAGTGTTGACAGACTGCATAGAATGAATCGCAGTGGGATGCTCTTGGCTATGAATTATGTACATAATAAAGTTTTGGTACTAACAGAAGCCATTGTCCATATTTTGAATATGTTTTGATGATGTTACTGGTCCTTTTGATTTGCAAATAGAGGAAAGAAAATTCCCTAAGTACAAACTTCACAAGAACTAAACAGAAAATTATACCATGTAAGGACATAGTCTGTCCATGAACTCTCTCAATGGAAGATCATGCAAATAGTGGACTGAAGTCATCCCAACCTTCAAAAAAGGCACCCTAGGAGGAAAGAGGGAAGAGGAAATAACGAAAACGCATAAAGAGTTGTTTGTGTAATCCAATCTGTATCTTTCTGTAAGACTTCCCATCCTAACAGCCTTTTTGCTCATTCATTGTCATAAGGAAGCAGCAGTATCGGAATACAGAGAAGGAAAGAATGGAGGCCACAAGCAGGATATGTATGTCTACAACTATTCAGGTTATTCTCAACCTGAAAAGGAGTCAAACTGATCAAGTCATTATATATCTTTTTCACTGAGTTGTGCAGCCTTTCTCTCCCTCCTTTTCTGAGTTGTTCCTCCCATATTAACATCTTCCATGGCTTCAGAAAATCTTGTTGTTGTTGTTGTTAAGTGCCGTAGAATCTTTTCCGACCCATAGCGACGCTGTTTCTGAGGAGTAGTTGGTGGGTTTGAACCACTGACCTTGCTAGAGTTCATGCTAATTTGAAAATCTGTTCTGCTTTTCCCCCCGCCCCTTTTGATCAGCATTATTCTATGGAATCAGGGTCCTGGTGTGGCGCTGTGGATTAATGCGTCAGACTGCAAAGCTGTTTGAACTGCAAGGTTCAAGCTCATCAGCCGCTCCTTGGAAACCCTATACAGGGTCGCTATGGGTTGGAACCGACTCAACGGCACTTCACAACAACAACAACATTCTATGGAATTTTCAATGAATATGTTCAGTAATGATAGCTGCCCACCATCTAGTTCTTCTGGTCTAATGGCAAAGAAGTTACTTGTTCATGGAGGCAATCTGCCACAAATTCCACAGCCTCCTTGTATTCCTGACTCTCTATTGTTCCAGGTGGAAAGAGATCAATTGTTGTACCTTGGCTACTTGAAAGCTTTTAAGACCTCGTGCACTACACAAGGAACTAGGAGGTAGAACAACAACAAAACACTGCTATCAAGTCAATTCTGACTCAGAGGGTTTCTGAAAGTATAAATCTTTATGGGAGCAGACAGCCTTCTCTTTCTCTTCAGAAGCAACTGGTGGGTTTGAACCTTGAGGTTAGCATCACCAGAGCTCCTAGGAGGTAGAACAGAAACTCTGTACACATTATTAGGCCAGTCGACTGAAACAGAAACCATGACCCTAAACCTCCAAACCAAGGAACCATTTCCCATGAAGTTGTTTGGTTATACATAAGCAACCTCTGCAACTGCTCTTCCCCACCCCCACTCCCACTGCTGTAAATGTCTATCTCACAACTCAGGTATTCAACTTTTTACAAGTGTGCAATTGTAATTGATTTCAAACTCCATCTGTATTGTAGCATGCATAAAGACTTCATTTCTCCTATTGGCAGAGGAATGTTACAGTGTTAAGTATAGACCACATTTTATTTGTTCAGTTATCTGTTGATGGGCATTAAGGTTGTTTCCACCTTTTGGTTATTATGAATACTGCTACAATGAGCAAGTCTCTTTTGGAATCTCTGTTTTCAGTTTTTTGGGTATAAACCTAGGACTGGAATTGCTGGGTCATCTGGTAGTTCTTGAAGTCCTGGTGTGGTACTGTGAGTTAATGTGCTGGACTGAAAAGTAGGTTTGAACTGAAAGGTCCGTGGTTCAAACTCACCAGCCTCTCCTCAGAAACCCTATATAGAGTCACTATGGGTTGGAACTGACTCTATGGCACTTAACAACAGCAACAACAACATGGTAGTTCTTGACGCAGGACCAAGCAGTGTTTTATTCTGTTGTGCATAGGTTCGCCATGATTCGGTACCCACTCAATGGCCCCTAACAACAACAATGGTAGTTCTATTTTTAGATGTTAGTTCTTTGAGGAGAGGCTCAACTTTTCATTGCAGTGTCCACAATTATATATTTGCGTTGCTGTTGGCTGACTTTAAGTTACTTTTCAACTCATTGTCAACTCATGTGACAGAGTAGAACTGCCCCCCAGGGTCGGTCTCCTAGGTTAGAATCCTTTTGGGCCACCATTCGTCTACCAGTTTGTGGTACTGTGGTGATTTGTGCATTGCTGTGAGGCTAGAAGCTATGCCACTGGAATTTGAAATAACAATAGGGTCACCTATAGTGGACAGGTTTCTGTGGCACTTCCAGGCTAAACAGCCTAGGAAGTAGGAGAGGCAGGCCACTTTTAAATGGTTAGCTCTTGAAAACCTATAACATACACAGCTGCAGGTATGATGGGACTTCTCCTGTCTTCAACAGCCCTGAGAGCAGTGGAACATTGAAAGAGATAGTGCTAGACCATGAGCCCCACAGGCTGGAAGACACTTAAAATATGATTGGGGAAGAGCTACCTCCTCAAAGTAGAGTTGACTTTAATCATATGGAGGAAGCAAACCTTTAATTTGCTAATGGGGCACAATTCAAAATGAGAAGAAACAGCTGCAAACTACTATTAATAATCCAAACATGGAATGTACAAAATAGAAACATTAGAAGTTGTTAAGAATGTAATGGAACACATAAAGATCGAAATCCTAGTCATTAGTGCACTGAAGTGGACAGGTGTTATCCATTTAAAATCTGGCAATCCTATGGTTTGCTAAACTTGGACTAACAAATTAAAGACAAATGGTACTGCATTCTTACTCAAAAAGAGTATTTCAAGATCTATCTTGAAGAAAAATGCTGTCTGTGATAGGATAAAATCCATATGCATACAAGGAAGACTAAGGAGCTCTGGTAGCGTAGTGGTTACGAGTTGGGTTGCTAACCTCAAGGACAGCAGTTCAAAACTACCAACTGTTCCACATGAGGAAAAACATGAGGCTTTCTTCTCCCATAAAGATTTACAGTCTCAGAAACCCTATGCAGGGTCGCTATGAGTTGGAACCGACTCCATGGCACACCACCACCACCACCACAAGGAGGACCAGTTAATATCACTATTATTCAAAGTTATGCACCAACTACTAATGCCAATGATGATGAAGTTAAAGATTTTTCCCAACTTCTTCAGTCTAAAGATGATGAAACATGTAATGAAGATGCATTGATAATTACTGGTAATTGGAATATGGAAGTTGGAAACAAAGAGGAAGGATCAGTAATTGGAAAATACGG